CGGGAAGAGGCAGAGAAACAACGGGTGGCTTCAGAGAACCTTCGACAGGAGCTGGCCTCACAGGCAGAGCGAGCAGAGGAACTGGGCCAAGAATTAAAGGCATGGCAGGAGAAATTCTTCCAGAAGGAGCAAGCCCTCTCTGCACTGCAGCTCGAGCACACCAGCACACAGGCCCTGGTGAGTGAGCTGCTGCCTGCCAAGCACCTGTGCCAGCAGCTGCAGGCTGAGCAGGCAGCTGCCGAGAAACGCCATCGTGAGGAGCTGGAGCAAAGCAAGCAGGCCGCTGGTGGGCTGCGGGCAGAGCTGATGCGGGCCCAGCGGGAGCTTGGGGAGCTGATGCCCCTACGACAGAAGGTGGCAGAGCAAGAGCGAGCAGCCCAGCAGCTGCGGGCGGAGAAGGCCAGCTATGCAGAGCAGCTGAGCATGCTGAAGGAAGCTCATGGCCTGCTGGCTGAGGAGAACCGGGGGCTGGGCGAGAGGGCCAGTCTTGGCCGGCAGTTTCTGGAAGTGGAGCTGGACCAGGCCCGGGAGAAGTATGAACAGGAGCTGGCAACTGTGCGTGCTGATGCTGAGGCCCGTCTGAGTGAGATGCAGCGGGAAGCACAGAGCACTGCCCGGGAGCTGGAGGTGATGACTGCCAAGTATGAGGGTGCCAAGGTCAAGGTTTTGGAGGAAAGACAGCGGTTCCAGGAAGAGAGGCAGAAACTCACTGCCCAGGTAAGGCATCCAGTTCAGTGACACTTCAAAGACTGGACCTGAGATAGGGGACATTTCCTCTGCACCCCAGGGACTTAAGCTCCCACATTATTGCAGTGTCTTGTCTCTACTCACTCTGTGTAGCAGAGGAGAGGTGGCTGGCAGAGTTCAAGTCTGTTACCCCATGTTCTAAAAAATACCAGTATCCTTCTCCCTCCCTGAAGACTGTCCCTGGAGAGTCAAACTGAAGGCCATTGCCCGTTCTGGAGGCATATCTGCAGTAGAGGCCCCAAAAGCCACAGGAGACTAGAATGAGCCAAACTGTCATTTTAAAAATTATTAGAAGTCTGGTTCCTTGGGGGGAGGGGGAGTGCCAGACCCTTAATGGGGTCAGCGTCACAGCAGGACCATGCATCTGCAGCGCCCATCTCACTGTCTCCATTGCTCCTCCCCCATGCACAGGTGGAACAGCTAGAGGTATTTCAGAGAGAGCAAACTAAGCAGGTAATGCCTGGGGTTCTTGCTAAATGCTGGCTGCTTAAGCGGTAACCAGTCTTGGTGCATGACCCCGGCTGCAGCTTGCCTCCGCCAGCTCCCGTTGTGAACTGTTTGTGAAGGGGGCAGGGTCAAGCCGTGGAATCCAAGGCCCAGGCTGCCCAGGCGTGCGGTGTGCTGGGCCCTCTCTCAGGCCCCATCCCACCCATCCCAGGTCGGCCTCTCCACCTTTCTGTACTTTCCGTCAGGGATGAGGGGCAGGGTAGGCTCCATCTTTCCCGTATCCGAAACAAGCACAGACAATTCTTGGGATTCCCAAACCTCGAAGTTCTCTTCCATGTTTGGGTCCTTAGCGAAGTGGAGGATTAGCAGAATGACTGTGGGCCTTGTTCAGCACAACACTTAGGAAGGTGATGAGCAAGGACTCCTTCACAGGTTAGGGAGGGTTGTGAACTCAGGTTGTCTGCCTTAACCCTGAGCATGAAATAAAGATGTCCGGGGACTAGAAGGCCAAGGTTGAGAGGAGCAGGAGGGGCCTCTGCCAGACAGAGGGTGTCAGGGTCTGTTGTGCTGCTCTCACAAGGGTCTCTGTGCCGCCCTAGATGTCAAGGCTATCGAGCTAGTATTTAGTAGGAGCACCATTTCTCTGTCATCTGTCCTGTGCAGTCACCTCAGGCCTGTGACTGTCACTGCAGTCACAGAGGAATTGAGCCTTCCCCTCCTCTCATCACCTTCTTCTAGGAGCCCAGGATGACAAGCCGAATACAAACAGTTAGCAATGGAGCCTGGGCCTCTTGCCTTTGCTGATGATGCTTGAGCTCCTGGAATCTGGAGGAGCCAGGGGCGCTTGTGGCTGTGATGCTCCCTCTCATCCCTCCCTCCGCTTACTCTCCCTGTCTGTGGGAGTGGGGTGGGCTTGGACATGTGCTGCCCCTGCTTTGTCTCCCAGCAGTCTGATCCCCACACTAACTACACTGCTAGCACCAGCCCTAACAGCCTGTGGGTATTGGGAAGAGGGCTGATCATCTGTGGGCTTTTGCTTTGGTAGTTTGGGGGAGGAGGGATGGCTTTTGAATGAGTGTGTCTGCTAAAGTCACAGGCTAGGTCCCCTATTCCTGTCTCCAACCCAGAAAGGTTGGGGTTTGGAATGGCAGTAGCCGCAGTAGGGTGGCGATAAGGCATTGGCTCCCCAGAGTTGATTCTCTTGAATCCCGGGGCGGCTACAGACCTCTGACCCTACAGACTGGGGGTGGAGGTGAGCCTGGGCAGGTGGCTCTGGCAACCCCTCTGTGTTGGTTTGCCTCACTCAGGTCCTGCCAACCAGCCTGGGCAGCAGGCTCTTCACTAACTGGAGGCCAGAGGAAGGACCTGAGTTTCTTTTTCTAAAAATACTGGGAACTGGTCTGGGAATACCCCATAATTTGCCTGCACATCCAGGGGAAGGCCTCTTGAGACTTCCCTTCTCCCTTTCCTCCACTTCACTAGGTGGAAGAACTGAGTAAGAAGCTAGCTGACCATGACCAAGCCAGCAAGGTGCAGCAGCAGAAGCTGAAGGTGGGACAGAGGCGGGTGGGAAGGTGCTCTAAGCCCTTGGGCTGCGGTGGGTGTGGAAGCACAGGAGCATCCCCCGGGGGCCTGGCTGCCTCAGGAGACCTGCCTGTAACTCGTTTGTGTGCCCTCTTGGAACTCTGGAAGGAAGACCAGAGCTACTTCTATCCCTCAGACCTTTGCTGCGAATTACAGTAGCCAGTAATTAATTATGTGTGGTTATTTAGATTAATGAAAATTAAATTAAAAATTCAGTTTCTCAGTCCCACCGGCTACATATACTCTGCTCAGTAACCATATGTGGCTTGTGGCTACCATACTGGACAGGGCGCGCACGGAACACGGCCACCGCAGCAGGAAGTTCTGTTGGATAGTGCTGGTCTGCAGTGTCAGTGACATGTGATGTTACAATGCGAGTTAATGTTCTTAACACTCTCAACATCGTCACCTTCGGTTTAATATTTGTTTTTTTGCAGCCTAGGCTTCACAGCTTTTAGCTAGGAGCAAAGGAGTTGACACCAGTGGCCCTAGGACTCACTAGAGCCCTGGTGGGTCACAGGAGTTGGTGGGAGCTGAGGACTGTGATTCCTCAGCTCACTACCAAGTACTTCCTCCACGCTATGTCTTGACTGTGATAAACAGGTGCTTGTTATACTCCTTTTAGGGGCCTTCCTGGTCTGGAAAGGAGATGCAGGGGAGGAAAGGCCAGGTGATCCTGTCCAGTATCACCACAAACTAAGCACTTGCTGGCATTGCAAGTAGACCTAGAACCAGGCACAGGCCTTGTTTCCAAGGAGTCTGGTGTGGAGAAGGGGCAGTGCCAGCACCATGAATCTGTCCACACGGGCTTTGGAGTCAGGTGCACCAAGGGTCAGACCTTACTTTGCTATTTAGTCTCTATGACCCTGGCCAATTTACTTAAATGTCTTGAGCTCAATTTTTTAAACTCTGAAATGGAGATAAAGTTACTTCCCAGAGTTACTCTTACTTCCCAGAATGAATTCACATGTCCTGAGAGCTCATATTTCAAGCGCCTCGCCCCCTCCCTACTCTGCACCCAGGTGAGAGCATCAGTTCCCTTCCTCCTTGGGGAGACTTGTACTTAGGGGGAGAGAGAATGGGACAGTTTGTGCTTGATCTCAAGGGAGATAAGGCTGTCAGAACCACCAGAAACAGCCTGAGCTGATGGGAAATCTGCAGACCGTGGGCCCTTGAAAGGCGTATGCTGAAGTTGGGGGAGGGGGAGTGGTAAGAAAAGGATTTTTTTGTTGTTGTTTTCTGAGAAAATGCCATAGAGCCCAAGGGGCCAGGGCAAGTCCGTGGATTTGGGTGGAGCAGCCAGACCGGTCACCCAGATCAGCCTTCCACATCACATGCTTTCCAGGCCCAGGGAGGGGAGAGCCAGCAGGAGGCCCAGCGCCTCCAAGCCCAGTTGAATGAGCTGCAGGTCCAGTTAAGCCAGAAGGAACAGGCAGCTGAGCACTACAAACTGCAGGTGAGGAGCCCAGTCCTGGCCCACTCTGCCCCCCCTCTGCTGCCCCCCCCCCCTTATCCCCCACCTATCCTAACTGTCCACACAGATGGAGAAAGCTAAGACCCATTATGATGCCAAGAAACAGCAGAACCAAGAATTGCAGGAGCAGCTGCGGGGCCTGGAGCAGCTGCAGAAGGAAAACAAGGAGCTAAGGGCCGAAGCTGAGCGGCTGGGCCGTGAGCTGCAGCAGGCTGGGTTGAAGACCAAGGAGACTGAACAGACCTGCCGCCACCTTACTGCCCAGGTGCGCAGTCTGGAGGCACAGGTAAGTATCTGGCTGGACAGACTCCCTTACCCCTGCCATAATAGATCCTTGTGCCCTCCTCTCCTAAGCCACCCTTGTCTTAGGCTTCTCTTCACTCTCCCTGCTTCCCAGGTTGCCCATGCTGACCAGCAGCTTCGAGACCTGGGCAAGTTTCAGGTGGCAACTGATGCCTTAAAGAGCCGGGAGCCCCAGGCTAAGCCTCAGCTGGACTTGAGTACTGACAGCCTGGATCTGAGCTGTGAAGAGGGGACCCCACTCACTATCACCAGGTCAGGAGGCGCCCTTCTTCCCGCAGTCCGTTGTCCATTGAGAGGCTACTGTTTATCAGGCTCTATCCTGGGCACTGGAGCTGTGACATAAAAGGTGTGGTCCCTTTGCCCTTTGGAAGCTGATTCTCAGAACAAAAAGATTTCATTGAGGCTGTCACTCTTGAGTCTTGAAAGAAGTGACAGAAATGTGTGCCCAGTGGACAGAAGAGAGCAGTGAGAGCCAAGGCCAAGAAAGAGCCTCTTTGGGCTGGGAAGTAAAGTTGGCAGAGCCAGCCGGACTGCCCACTGATGGAGGCCGGTGCTTTGAGGGGCCTCGGAAGGGTTTGAAATTGAGTACATGAGATTTGCATGTTAGCTTAGCCTTATAATCAGTGCAGAAGCTGAGACTGGAAACATTTTTATTTAATATTTTTACATATCAGACACTGTTATAGGCTCTTGAAAAAAACAGCAATTGACTTAGATGAAATGGGCATAAAGGGCAGTCAGTTGATCAAGGACCCACAGTGGCAGAGCTGGGCTTCAAGCTGGGCAGTCTGGCTCAAGTCCTTGTTTCTGTCACCACTCTGGTGCTTCTCTCAGATGTTGCTGTCAGTCTAGGTGAGAGGAGATGAGGCAGACCAGGGAAGGCCATGAGAGCAGAGAGACGTGTGGTTAGACTTGCCAGTTGGTTTGATAGGAGAGGGAAGAGGCAGAATGGTGCCCACGTTCATAGCTGGGCAGCCTCCCGAATGGAGGCGGCCTCCCTTAGCTGAGACAGGAGAGGAACACACAAATGGGCTTAGTTGGAGATATTCCTTGTGGTGCAACTGTGGGTATCCAGAGAGGTGTCTAAGACAGCGGATACATAGGTCTGAAGAGCAGGGTCTGGGTTAAGGCAGAGGGCTGGCCGTCGCCGGTATTGAAAAGTTCAAAGGGCCATGGGAGTGGATGGGCTCACCAGAGACGGAAAGCCCAGGTCAAGGGCTCTCCTTGGTACCTCTGAAAAGTCAGAACATGGGGTGCTTAACCAGGTCTGTTTATAGTAAAGGGGTGGATAGAATGCTCTCTGGCCCCAAGAATGGCACCTCAGCAGGTTTCTATCCTGTAGCAAGCTGCCTCGTACCCAGCCAGATGGCAACAGCATCCCTGGAGAGCCAGCTTCGCCCATCACCCAGCGCCTGCCCCCCAAAGTAGAATCCCTGGAAAGTCTCTACTTTACCCCCATCCCTGCTCGGGGTCAGCCACCCCTGGAGAGCAGCTTGGACTCCCTGGGAGACAGCTTCCTGGACTCGGGACGGAAGACCCGCTCTGCTCGTCGTCGTACTACACAGATCATCAACATCACCATGACCAAGGTCAGGCTCCTGGGGCTGGGGCTGCAGGACAGTAATGCTCCTGTCTGCTCAAGGGCACCTTGCCACGGGGTCCTAAAAATAGCCCTAAGAGGCAGACAGGGCTGACCAGTCCATGTCTTACAGAAGGGAAAGCTGAGATTCTAAGAAGGATTTTAGGCCTCTTTTGTAGAAAAGGGCAGGGCTGTAATTGGACGCCTGTCTGCTGACTCAAAGGCTGGTAGTCTTCCATGTGTAGCTCTGTCCCTATAGAAGCTGAAGGGAGAGAATATGGAGAAGTTGTAGCTCAGCTGGGGCCTCCCAGCACAACTCCAGGGTAGCTGAGATGTGTTGTGACTGCCAGTGAGCTGCCTGCCAGCCTAGGGGGCTCTGGCCCTTGTTTCCATATTTTAAGGACATTAGGGAGGGAAGGAGAGGTGCCTCTGGTGTAGAGGGAGCACTTCTGTGTGTAGGGTGTCCTCTCCTACCAAGAAGCTGGAGAAGCTCACAGGGGTGTCCATCCTCTTGGTGCCTCTGGGCCACACATTAAATACACTGTGACACACACACACAATCTCATGTTTTAAATAAATTCATAATTGTTTTTGGTTGCAGTCAGTCATCCTGGGCCGTGAGTTAGACCCCTGTGTGAGATGGTTAGGACCCTTGCAAGCTTGAGATGGGGGACGCCAGAGCTATGGGATGAGCCCGACTAGCTCAGGGAAGAGACCATGAGTTCTAGCCCTGGCCCTCGCACTTCTTAGCTGCTTGATTCTTGGGCCAGTCATTTAATTTCTTTGCATCTCTCTTCTAAAATAGCCTGATACATTCTGCCTCCCTCCGCTCAAAGCACTGTAAATAGACTCAGTGGGAAAGTAGGTAGAAAAGAGTCTCGATACCCTTAGCACCTATGCAGGACTCTGGCAGCCCTCTTCTTGCAGATGTCCAGCTAAGAACCCTTGCAGAGCAGTGTGGAAACTTGCAGGGCTGTGCTGTAGGACCCGAGGGCTTCAGGAAGGGGGAACAGTGGGAGGCTTCTTTAAACAGTGTCACGGTGCCCACTCCACCCCACCACAACAAATTCATCCTTCCTTCCAGAAGTCAGATGTGGAAGAGCCAGACAGCGCCAACTCATCCTTCTACAGCACACAGTCTGCCCCTGCTTCCCAGGCAGGCCCAAGAGCCACCTCCTCCACCCAGTCTCTAGCCCGCCTGGGCTCTCCCGACGATGGCAACTCAGCTCTGCTCAGCCTGCCTGGCTACCGGCCCACCACTCGCAGCTCTGCTCGCCGTTCCCAGGCCAGGGTGTCCAGTGGGGTCCCTCCAGGTGAGGGGACCATTTTCTAACCCTTCCTAAATATTGACTAGGAGCACACTGTGGCACAGCAAAAGGACAAGCATTTAAAAACCTAAGGCTAGGTTCCTGGCTGCCTTCCTGCAGTCTTAGGGCCTTGGCTGTCCAGCGAGGGTGAATTGGAAATGCCTGCACAATAGGCCCAGGAGTCCCAGCATAATAGTGGGGCTCAGAGGCTGTCCCAAGTCCTTCATGCCTTTCTCAGGTGGTGAGGGGCTGCCAGAGGACCAAACTGGCCAGTTATTTATCGTTAGATTCTTCTGGGAGTCTCCTTTTACAACCCCCTGGGTATCAATTCCTGGCCCTCTAGTAGATTCTCTTGGTATCATAGCATCTATATATGACCTCTCCGGGGAGACGGCAGTGAGCCAGCCCCCATGGTAGAAATGGTCTGTGAGCCCTGCTCCTGCCCCTGCAGCTCTGAGAGGAGCAGGACTCTGGGCTGCTGGGCTTGAGGTTCACTGGGTAGGTGGACAGAGTGGTGGCAGCAAAGGCTGGTGCGGTGTAGGAGACTTGCTGCCTTCACCCCCACTCTTCCTGGCCTTCTAGCCCCTCTTGCTTCAGCTTCTCCTGCTCTCCCCAGGAAGGAACAGTTTCTACATGGGCACTTGCCAGGACGAGCCTGAGCAGCTGGATGACTGGAACCGCATTGCAGAGCTGCAGCAGCGCAATCGAGTCTGCCCCCCACACCTGAAGACCTGCTATCCCCTTGAGTCCAGGGTGAGCGCTGAGGTCACCTGCGTAGGACCCGGCCGTGCTGGCTCACCTCTTCCTCTCGGCATTCCTTCCCAGTGTCACTTGCTGACTAACTTAAGTAATAGTGCCCTGGGTCTCTGGCCTCCTGAGGAAGGCGAGTAGATGCTTCTAGTGGAACAGCTGGTAGGGAGGGAGCTCGGGTGAAGTCACTGTGGGTGGGCAGGAGCTTGGAGCAGTCTGTTTTGGACTGGTTTTCTGTGGCCGTTGTGCAGGGAAGACAACGGGGAGGGAGGCCTTTTGTGACAGGAAGGCTCCACCTGTTCCACATGCCAGGCCAGTGAAGAGTGTGGGACAGTCCTGCTACATCTCCCAACACCTTGGGTCCACTGACCACTTCCACCCCATGCAGCCTTCCCTGAGCCTGGCTACCATCACAGACGAGGAGATGAAAACCGGTGACCCCCAGGAGACCCTGCGCCGAGCCAGCATGCAGCCAACCCAGATAGCTGAGGGCACTGGCATCACCACCCGGCAACGCAAACGGGTCTCCTTAGAACCCCACCAGGGCCCTGGTACCCCTGAGGTAGGCGACATTGGCTCCTATGTTTTATCCTGACAGCCTGCCCGGTCAGGTTCAGCTCGGCAGATTTGAAAGTGGAGGCTTCTGGCTCGGGGTCGGAGGGGATGTGCTGCTGGTTGGACAAGTTGACTTACAAGGTCCACTTGGCTGAGACACCTGGCTTTGGATGTGAAGTCCTCTTACTGACATCTGCCTAACTGGCCTCTTCTCCACAGTCTAAGAAGCCCACCAGCTGTTTCCCACGCCCCATGACTCCCCGGGACCGACATGAAGGGCGAAAGCAGAGCACTGCGGAGCCCCAGAAGAAAGTCCCAGCTGTTGTCAAACAGGTTAGTTGGGGGCTGAAGGGAGACCCTGGAAAGGCAGCAGTGAGCCCCATCTGACAGTCCCTTCCCACAGGATGACCGCCGCCAGTCCATGGCCTTCAACATCCTCAACACGCCCAAGAAGCTTGGGAACAGCCTTCTGCGGAGGGGGGCCTCAAAGAAAGCCCTGTCTAAGGCCTCCCCCAACACCCGCAGTGGAACCCGTCGCTCTCCTCGCATTGCCACCACCACAGCCAGCGCTGCCACTGCTGCTGCCATTGCTGCCGCCACTGCCACTTCTCGGGCCAAGGGCAAGGTGGAGACAGTGACAGGGAAGGGGGACGATTCAACTCAGGAAGCCCCGCAGAAGCATGGGGCAGCCCCAGGGCAGGGCCCAGCTAGGCCAGTGAAGGTTGGGCGCTAAGTAGGTGCTCCTGATCTTGGTTAGCTGCTTATTGTTAGAGTGGAGATGGACAAATCAGTTCCTAGTAAAAAAAAAAAAAAAACCTGAGCTGCTTGGACACATCCAGCAACTGGTAACCTGAAGGTGGATCTGTCCAGGGCCATACCATGGAAGGGATCCTAGTCAGGGGCCCTGGGAGCAGCTGGTGCAGGCTGATCTCACAAGTCTCATCCAGCCAACTGACTGTGTTTCTCTTTTGCAGGCAAAGCACTAAAGGACCAGTACCAGTGAGCGGCCCCACCTATGTCCCTGATGCTGCCCTTGCCTGGTCCTCCTACTGTCCCTCAGTGCCTTCTCTCAGCTTCCAGGCCAACAGTGGCCAAACCCCTCGAGGCAGTGATGCCTGGCATACCTTTACCAGAGCCTTCACTAGGTGAACAGATGGGTCTTCAGAGTTGGCCTGGAGCCTGGACAGTCTGGGTCCTCTCCCTGCCTTGCCTCCTGATGTTTTCGTAAAGCAAAGTCACTTCTCTATCACAAGATTTGAGGATGGCTTTCAGCGGCTGGGTCTTTGGGCTCAGCCAGTCCCTCTCAGCCTCTGGATCTAGAAGGGACCATTGGAGAAGCAGACAGACCTTGGTTCCTGCTATTCCTGGTGGCTAGGTAGGCTAACAGGGGGCCTTGCTCTTAGAGCCCAGGACTAGGCATTGACCTGGTGGGAACCGTCCACCCCCAGGGGCTCCCATCCAACCCAAGGGCACAGTTGCCCAGAGGATGTTCTCTTCCAGGACAGCTGGGGTGGGTGGGGGGATAGCCTTCAGCAGCGGCAGCTCATCCCCACCTTTCCTAGACTTGTGCTGGGGTGGGACCTGGATGGATGGGAAGGTTTTTAAGGGCCAGGGATGGATCTTTTCTAAATGTTATTACTTGTAAATAAAGTCTATTTTTCTCCCTTGACTGCTGAGCTGCCTGATCTGTGCTGGAAAGAAGAGAAATCTGGGTACTTTAGAGCTTACCTTTGTTCCTGCTGGGCCTTCCAGAACCCGCCTTCTTTCAAGTCCCTTCTGGCCTTTCTAGGGCCAGAGGATCTTCTCATACTCCATGGCTGACCTCTGCTCATGGAGTATTATGGGCCGTTCTTTTCTGAGGGCGTCTGTCCCTTGAATATGGTTTTATCTTTAGCTCCTTCCCATAGTCCCTACTAGAACAGGCCAAGTTCTGTGAGTAGGAAAAATGGCCTAAATTTTCTAAGATGTTGGCATGCCTCCATGGAAAAGTCACTCATGAATGCCCCTTGTCCCTGCAGGATATGACAGAGATACAGTTGTGGACCAGAAGCAGCCTCTGCCCATATCCCTGGACAGTTTATTAGAGGAAAAAAAAATACTGGCGTCACTTAGATTGTAGGTTCGGTTCCAGATCACTGCAACAAGTGAGCATCACAATAAAGCAAGTTACATGATTTTTTTTGGTTTGCAGGTACATATAAAAATTATATTTATATCATACTATAGTCTATTAAGTGTGCAATAGCATTTCTAAGAAACAATGCACATTAATTAAAAAGTGCTATCTACCATCTGAGCTTTCAGTGGTTTGCAGTGGTTTTGCTGGTGGAAGGTTTTGCCTTGATGTTGGCTCCTGACAGATACAGGTGGCAGTTGCTGAAAGGTTCGGGTGGCTGTGACAGTTTCTTAAAATGAGAAAATGAAGTCTCCAGCGTTGACTGTTCCACAGATGATTTCTCTGTAGTATGCAGTGCTGTTTGACAGCATTCTACCCACACTAGAACGTATTTCAAAACTGGAGTCAATCCTCTCAAACCTTGGTGAATCCTTTCCAGAAGGTTTTTAATTTACTTTGCCCAGATCCATCAGAGGAATCACTATGGCAAAAACTTGAAAGTTGAAATTACTCATTGATCCATGGATTGCAAAGCATGTGTTAACAGGCATGAAAACATTAATTTCATACATCTCCACTAGAGCACTTGGGTGACCAGATACTTGTCAATGAGCAGTGATATTTTGAAAGGAGTCTTTTGTCTGAGCAGTAGGTTCCAACCATGGGCTAAAACTATTCAGTAAACCATATTAACAGATGTGCTGTCATGCAGGCTTCCATGTTCCATTGGCAGAGAACAGAGCACAGGAGAATTATTTAGCATAATTCTTAAGGGCCTTAGGACTAACAGTAAATGAACATGCTTCAACTCAAAGTCAGCAGCTGTATCAGACCCTTTGACGCCAGGCACTGACTTCTCATCTCCAGCTATGAAAGTCCTAGATGGCATCTTTCACAGGAATGCTGTTTCGACTACACTGAAAATCTGTTTAGTGGTTAGTTTGCTGCAGCTTCTGTATCGGCACTTGCTGCTTCATGTTATGGAGACAGCTTTCCTTGCTGGTTTCCGACCTTTCTTTTGCAGCCTCCTCACCTCGCTCAGCCTTCACAGAATTGAAGAGCATTATGATTATGTCCTTACTCTGGATTAAAGGAATGTTGTAGCTGGTTTCATCTATCCAGACCATTAAAACTTTCCTTATCAGCAATAAGGCTCTTTTCTTACTACTAATGTGTTCACTGGAGTAGAATTTTTAATTTCCTTCAACAACTTTTCCTTTGCATTTACAACTTGGCTGTTGGTTCAAGAGGCCTAGCTTGTAGCCTGTCTCAGCGTTCAACATGCCTTCCTCACTAAGCTGAATCATTTCTAGCTTTTGATTTAAAGTGAGAGACAAGCGACTCTTCCTTTCACTAGAACACTTACAGGCCACTGTAGAGTTAATGACTGGCCTGATTTCAACGCTGTATGTCTGTCTGGGGGAATAGGGAGGCCCAAGGACGGGGAGAGATGGGGAACAGCCAGTCGGTAGGGCAGTCAGAAAACACACATTTATCAATTAAGGCCATTTTGATACTGTGGTTTATGGCACCTGAAAACAATTTCAATAGCAACATCAAAGATCACGGATCACAGATCATCATAACAAACATAATGATTAAAAAGTTTGAAATATTGCAAGAATTACCAAAATGTGACATGAAGTGAGCAAATGCTGTTGGAAAAATGGTGCTAATAGACTTCCTCAACAGGAAGGTTTTTATAAACCTTCAATTTGTAAAAAGTGCAATACTCAGGAAGCACAGTAAAACGAGGTATGCCTCTACAAGTATAACATATAACTAAGCTGCTTCAGGATGTGGCCTGAGCTGAGACAACCTAGACCTAAATGATGAGGTGGCATTTCAACCAGGCTTTAGAGTTCACCTGTTAGGATGGTGAAGCAGAGGGCACCCTCTGGAGGGCTTCTTCAGTGGGGGGGACAACTCTCCTCAGCCCAGCCTGGGGAAAGGGAAGGCAGACAAGGACAGAGTCAAGGGGGAAGGGATATTTCTTGCCACATTCCTCTAGGCCATGCCGCTTCTGCTGGAGTCCAAAGTTCTAGCAGTTTCTATTTCAGGCTTGGGGACTTGGGGGACTGTTTGTCATTAGCTAGATACTGCTGTGGGTGGAGCCCACCCACCCTTTCCTCCCCACACTGGAGCAGAGCTCCTCCTATCCCTGGAAACCTTTCCTCAGTTTTCTCACCAGGAGATGGCCCAGGATGACGTGACGCTGAACAGTGTGCTCGGGATCGGTAAAAACACAAGAGAAGTTGGTGCTGCGCAAGGCGGGGCTCAGCTCCTCCAGCACCAAGGTCTTCCACAGCTGGGTCCTTGTGCCCCTGTGCTCCCAGCTGGAGTGGAGAAGAAAGGCCATGAGAGGACCGCAAGAGGCCGCCTCCCTCCTGTTGGCCTCACCACCACACCCCTCACCTGGTACTGCCCTCCCGCAGCCGGCCTGGGAGATGCTCAATGAAGGAACCATTGCCCAGCCAGTAAAGGATGCTGAAGTGGTGGAAGCAGCTGTAGGCGGTACAGGACAAAGTCAGCGTTCCATCTAGGGATACAAGTTGCCGTCAGCCCTTCTGTAGAGCAGACCCTCCCCCTGCCATCCTGTGGCCTGCCCGCCCTGCAGTCCCCACAATCCAGGGACTTAGAGTGCTGCCTGCACACCACCCAGGTGGCCAAGTTCGCTAAAGAGGAGAGGCAGCTGTCTACAATGGAGGCCCTGGGCTGAGCACGAGGAGTTTGGGAAGGGGTCCTTGGTTCAGGTGATGACCTTTTCCAGTGTCCAGCTTCACTAACTCTGGGAGCCCCAGCCAAGGCAACAGCCCAGTAGGCCACTTCTTCCCTGAGGTGGCCAGAAGGCAAGTGGGCTGTGAGAAGGGCGGGGCCTTGCAGCACACTGCAGTCTAGACTGGGCATCTTCTGACCTTTCCTTATGACTGAACTGTCACATTTGATATGGAACATCTTGGGAGCTGGGCGTGTGCCCACACGCATGATGCTGGGTGGGAGAGGGAGAAAGCTGAGTGTCCCGCCAAGCTGGTCAGGTCAGTGGGGAGCTACATCACAGAAGAGCAAGGGGGTACGTTTGGGAGTCAACCCCTTGGACCCTTTGTGCCCACAGCCCACCCTCCTACCATTGTGCTCTCCTAGGAATCTTTAGAATTGCTCCTTACTTAGTGAGACTTCCATTTCTGGCCAGGTCACCTCCAATGCTGAGCAGCGCTTAGCTGTTGTGAGAGTTGGGGGTCGGGAGGAAGAAGGGTCTTTCGTGATCCCAGCTGAGGCTGTGGCAGCTGTGACGGCCTGAAGTGCAGGCGTGGCTCTGGCCACGTGGGAGATGATGTGGGCACACAGAAACAGGACCCACAAAGGGCTGGTGTCTGAGGAAAAGACACAGAGCAGCAGCTGTAGGGACTGCCTGGGAATGCTCAGCACCCGGGCTCCGATCTTGACTGGAGAGGGAGTTGCTGCCTAGACACAGCCCTGGCCGAGAGACTCATGGGCTCTGCCCAGGAATCTGGAGGGGCAGGACCCTCAGCTCGTTCCTCCTGTCCCTTTTTGAAGGGAGCACAGGAAGATTTTGGAACAGAGCCACCTGGGGCTACGGCCTGGGGCAACCACACTGCTCCACTGTTCCCAGAACCCTTCCCTCTTTCCCCTTCCCTGCCACTCACTCCCCCAGACACAGCCCCAGGGCCCACCTGGTGTCCAGTTCCATCTCGTGGTCATGATGCATGTGTCAGGAGCTGGCGTGCCTGGCTCTATATATGTATGTGATGAACTTCCTCCTCTTTGGGGATGGCCGGGGGTGGAGAACGAGAGTGCAGCCCTCTCCTCCCTGTGGAGAGCACAGCCTTGCTCAGGCCTGACTTTCAGTGGGCTGCCGGGGGTTGCTACTTCCTCTGTCCACCTGTCCCAAATGACAACAGGAAGGCAGGCATCCAGCAGAGGCTGGAGCGCTTCAGCACGCAGAAACAAAGCTGGAGTGTCCTCCAGGGACAGTTTTTTTTCCACCCAAGCTCTTATTACCAACCATGCTAGTTTCCGGTCCATCCTAACCCCTTTAGCATAGGGACAGAGAAACCGGGGCCCAAACAGGGACCAGGTACTCACCAGTCACAAAGGGAGACAAGGCTCTCTTCACTGCCAGAGCTGGTTCTGAGAAAGGCAGGATGGAGTGAAATCCTTCTGGGAAAGCGCTGGCCCCGCACCCCATTTCACTTTCAGTTTTACACTAGCCATTTAACCGAGTCACTCACAGTAGGCTACGTGTGCAGTCAGCACACCCCGACGCGCCACCTGGCAGGTTCCTGCCCACCGGGCCTGAGCCGGAGTTCACAGTGGGCAGCAGCTCCTAGCACACCTACTCTCCAGGTGGTATTAGACCGGGTGGGGTCTTGGATCTACCCTTAGTCTCACCCTCCCGTGGTCACAGAGGGTATTAAAGTCTCTTTCGCGGATCACACTGATATTCAAGGGACAACTGTCCTCGGCACTGGGACCCCAATGTGTTGGGTTACTTTGACCATTTCAGGTTCAGTGTCCCCCAGCCCATCCACATCCTGATCTTCTTCGGCTCCCCACTCCGCCAGCCACTGAGCCAACACCTGCCCAGAACCACCTGAACTCAGATTCTCACTTCTCTCAACCCAGCCCCTTGGCCAGAGCTGCAGGTCTAGGTTCTCCAGATAGTCTAGATTCCTCTACCTGGCTCCCAAGAAGCTTGAAGAGCCCTGTTTTTCGTGATCACCCTTCTTGGAGCTCTACAAGCTCGGTCCGGCTACGCCTGGTCCCATGTGAACCACGCCACAGCAACTGCACTGATAGCACCGCACAGACTTGTCTGCAGGAACCTCTCAAGAGCCAAGCAAAGACCATAAAACATGAGCTGGTGCCCTCGCCCTAAAAGGAGGGCACTTCCCAGGGAAGAGGGTGAATGGCCCAGCACTGGCCCCAGCAAGACCAGCCTGGCTGCTGATGGAATAAATGGAGCTGGGGCTGTGGCAGGGCCAGGACTAGGATGAGGTGAGGCACCTGGGATACAAAACCGAAGACAGGCACTCACTGCCAGGGTCATGGAGGCAGAAAAAGAAAGACTGGTGACCCAGTGCATGCGTGCGTATATCAGGTGTGAAGGACAAAACCTAAGTGACTGAGGTTTGTGGTTTCTGTGGTCAGCAAGATGGGAGAGCAGGGGGCAGAGCCAGGGAGGTAATGGCACTAAACTAGGTTTAGAGGATGTGTCAGGAGTACTGTCCACTCCAATCCCATGGGGGTTTTTCCTGGTGTGGAAAACCAGACACGTACTCCCAATTTAGGAGACAAGTCACATCCTGTTCACTACGGCTCTACTTGACGTTTTCCAACCCTCAGTCCCTCCCCTACCTCCTGCCCCAGGAACTCCTAGGCTGCAGGGCACAGGGAAATGCTTCCGTAGGCACCCCGGCACCCCACAGTTAAGTCAGGAGGCAAGGCTGCCTGGGGCTCCAAGACACAGTCCTTTGAGGTGGGGGCTGGCGGGTGAGATGGACAGGAGACAGGCTTCTGCTTCAGAGCATCACCAAGACCAGAGTTAGGCTGCTGAGAGGTCATGGGACTCAGGACTGGTGAAATATGAAGAGCGAGCCTTGAACAGCTGGGCCTCAGCTTCTCACATGAGCCTGATGTGGGAGTTGAGGGGACAACAGTGAAAGGATGACTCCTGGGCCCTTCACCCAGCCCCTTCTTCGCGCTCTGAATTCAGACGGGCACGAGCAGTAGGGAACCATGAGAAGCCACACTGAGTAAGAGAACCGAAGTTGAGGATGACCTCATGAGACTGACCTCAGGTGGTGAGGACACGGCCACCCAGGGATGCCCCAGGGCCCCTTCTGCCACAGCGCAGGAGCCTGACATTCCACCACTCCCAGAGATGCTGTGCAGTGCCAACCGGGGCCCCAGCTCTCCAATGGGAACAGCAAAAGGCAGCCAACACACCCCTGAGGACCCCAGGGAAGGAGGTGGGGAAAAGAAAAGCAAGATAATGTTCAACTTTCCAACCCAGCTCATGGAGCTTTATTAAGAATAGAGTGACAAGATCTTCCTCGGTTCTTGCTGCCCTTGAAGGGGTCGGCCCAGCTGGGCCGTACTCCCTAGGAGCACAATGCGGAAGGCCCATGTCTGCCCTCCTACGTCCTTCAAAACTCCTAGGACCAGAGCTGGGGTCTGTCTCCCTGGAACCCCTTTTCAGAAGCCATACTCACCCGGGCCTTCCCCTCCTCCCACTCACCCCAACTCTTGCTGGCAGGCCCAGGCAGGGTCCCTGAACGACGAGGCTGACACAGGGATCCTCCCTGGCCTGGGAATCCCCTGCCAGCTTCCAAGGAACACTGCTGACAGGGACAAGTCTCATGTTTCTCACAGTCCCTCTGCCACGCCCATTCAGATGCACGTACACACACTCACCCAGGCTTTCAGGGAAGGAAGTGATGTGGCAAAAGGGCCTTTGGCACATGTCACCACTTCCTGGCACCACTTCCAGGCCTCCAACCCTGGCTGAGCAGGGTCCCGCGCGGGGCAGGTTACCCAAGCTGTTACTGCTTCTGGCTGACCACGAACCGAGCCTCAGTGCCTTCTGAGGTGCCGCGGCTTCCCTCACTGGAAAAGTCACAAGGCTCCACTTGCCTCAAGCAGCCCAGGGCTCCCGCACAGGGACAGACAGAGGACACCTCACCTCTCAGTGCTTGTCTGTCGCCAGTCGCGGGGCTTCAGCTCCTCACACAGAGTGTGCCAGCCCCACGGAGCAAGGGAAGGAAGGGGGTAGGCTGAGGCTCTCGGCCAGAGGCAAGAGGGCTCCTTTAAACCAAAAATGTGGCTTTGCTCCTGCCCTGCTCAAACAGGAAGGACAAGGCCTGGAGGAGTTGGGGCAATTCTTATGCTCCACAATATAAAAGGTTTTTAAATATATTCATCAAAATAGTTTTCTTTTAAAAAGCCCCCGCTGCTGACAGCCCCACTGGCTAGCTCGCCATCATATCCCTCCCCAGCCCCGTCACAGCCAGAAGGGTCCTGAATGGCCCAAGTGCCCCTTGAGTAGTTCCCCCCAGGAGGTCTTGAAGGGCAGAAAGAAGTGTGCCCTGAGGTCCATGGTGGGTGGATGCTCTTCTGTCTGACTATTCCAGGCCCAGGATGTAGTTGATGCCTTGTACCAGGCCAATGATGACAGGCTGCCAGGCTACCAAGTATCGAAGCCAATCCAGCAGCTGCCCATACATGACGTGAGGCCTCTCCCAGCTGCCAGTGTGTTAAAGGAAAGAGGCCATGCATAGAGCAACTAAGGTTGGTCTAAAGGGTGGGTTTGCCCGTGTCCTCCCTGGGACTGCCCACACTTTCCAGTTGCGCCACAAAATCAGCCTACTTTCTAGAAAGTCTCACCAGCCTTCCCATGTTGGAATAAAAGGCTAAACCCAGAGAAAAGCGGAGGGAGGGCGGAAGGGAAGAGTGCAGAAGATGGGGTGGAGAGGTGAAACGAAGTCTCCACGACCGACATGCAGAGAGGGTCGCCCCTGCAACAGCTTCCCTGGGACAGGACTGGCAGTGTGAGAGAGCACAACCCAAGGCTGCTGTGAACGCACCTGTGCCAGTGGCTGCAGGGAAGCTGGGGGTTAAATAACACAACCCCGAAGGTTCTTGTAAGGCCCCAGAGGGCACTTTTTCTAGGGCAAGGGAGAGGCTGAGTCTAGGGACAGGAAGAAGGGAACACAAGGCTACACAGGAGATAAGCCCTGGCAGAGGCCCCAGGAAATCCCCACCCAGAGGCACTAAGCACCAGGTCCTGCTGAGGCCCAGCGGCACTGGTGATGAGTTCCCTTCATTTTGCTTTATAGCTAAACAATAGGCAAGACACCAGGAAAGGAAGCCTGGGATTTCAATTCTGGGCAAAGAACAGGTTGACCTCCTGAGACTTGGGGGAGGGACAGAACCTCTCCAAAGGCATCAGAAAGAGAAGACCGGCCTAGTGTCTGAGAACGAAGGGAAGCCCCAAGCATCAGCTTGACCACGGAGTTACTTAGCTGTTCCTAAACTAGTCCCTGCAAGAACCAGGCAAGGAACCTAAAAGGGCCCGCCTCTTGTTCAGAGACTATGCAAATGTACTGGGAATGCACTGGCTCCCACACAGCCCAGCCAGTGTCCAGGGAACAGGGAACCATAACACAGAGGAAAAGGGAAGCCGGGAACAGAGGGGAGGAAGCTGGCTCTCTGGATCCCCTGGGAAGTGAAGGGGGCAGGCAGACAAGCAGCTGGGTTCTTTCTGACAGGCTGTGAGGAGGAGGAGGAGGAGGGGGAGGAGTGGGGAAGGCTGGCAGGGTAGGAAGTGGTAGCTCAGAGGAGCACAGGCCGTGTGTTCATAGTGGATAGGGAGGGGGAGTCCCTCAGCCATCCCTGCACCTTGCAGGCCCTGCACAGGCAAGACCACCATGGTCTCTAACCCTGCATGCCATAGACAAGGCATCATCACCCATTAGTCATGTAACATGGAGCAAGTTATTCAATCTCCAACTGTTTCATCTGTAAAATGAGAATATCACCCAGGCTGTAAAGTTGCTTGAGAATTAAGTGACATTAATTATGAGTGGATCATTTAACATAGTACCAAGAATATAGTAAGCAAGCAGTGTAGGTGCCATAACTACCAACTTATCCTTGAGGATTCTAGAATGATGATGAGAAGCTGAGGCATTAGTCCTGCCCCATGTTCCACCCCCAACTTTCTTAGACCTGAGGCCGAACAGAATGGTGGACATGGACCAGACTGCGGGCAGGAGGGAGGGCCCCAGCAGGACTCAAATGCCTGGTCGCCATGGCCACTGCTTTCTTCCCACTGCCCACTCCCAAAAAGAACCCAAACAAAGGATACGGGTTGCTGAACATCCTCTTGAGATCTACCTTCTCTTTGCAGTAGGGACACGTCTGCTTCTTTCCCACAATGCACCAGCCTCGGATGCAGAACTCGTGGAATCTGAGCACCACTGGTCAAGGGAAATGATGGTGGGCAGCCAGGGTGGCCACTCCAGCTCTGCGCCAGCCTTTAAGACGCCCATGCACTAGCTCTTGAGAAAGGTTCAAAAGCCTGGCTTCACCCCTTATCAGCTGTATAATCTTGGGCAAGTCTCTTTTCTCTGAACCTTTTTGCTCATATGTGAAGTGAGAATAATGATCTCTACCTTACACAGTCATTCTGGGGAAAAGTGTGGATAACATAATACATGGCAGAGAATGAGAGCTAAGTACATGACACATCTTAGAAGTGTTATTCAGGGAGATCTGACTGTGACACAGGGATGCAGTAAGAGGATACTCTGCCTGCCCCTGTGACCCATCCAATCTTGGGGCAGCCAGTGCAGCTTCAGGCTCCTCTCTGATCCATCCAAGCTGAGAATACAATTTACATAACAGTGGCTCCCATTGGTAGGGAATAATGAGCAGGGCTGCAGGGGCCATTCCTGGGTGTCGGCTTCTCTAGCAAGGAATACCACCCAAATGTCTGCCCTCTGGTGACTCTCCTACACTCTACAGTTGGGGCACCATGTCCCCCTTCCCTCCTTGACTGCAGTGTGCATGTGGCCCAGGAGCTCTAGGCAGGATACACGTGATTGCAAGATAGCCTGTACGTGTTCTCGATGATGCCTTCTTCACTGACATCCACGTGGATTTGCTGGCCACACACGGCACACATGCTGTCCGAGAGGTGTTTGGTAGGTATGCCTGACTCGCTGTAGAACTGGGAGAGAACAACACAGGGAAAAGACAGGAAGATGTGAGAATCAGACACAGTGGGAACCCACCACAGAGACCTGACGTCCTCTAAGCAAGAAAGCAAAGTTGCAGGGGTGGTCACAAAACCAAAGGACATCTTTTATTCACCAAATTGACCTCATCCTTGCTGGGCAAATGGGGAGAAAGGGACACACCAGAGATGGGTTGGGAGGTCAGATCTAATAGGACCTCACAACTAGGCTGGGTCAGCCTCAGGGACAAGAAGAATGGTAGGGAAAAGGACCCAGGGCTGGAGACCAGGAGCTATGTCAGGTAAGCCACCCTGTGGCCCGACTATGGTTCCACAGACATGGACAACATCTCTAAGATTCAAAACCGAAATACTCAGAGCAATGCTGTTTTGTGATAAGGGCATTCTCAGATACTTGTGGCAGCAGCAAAAGAGGTTCAATCCTTTTGGATAGCATTTGGCACAGTGTCCCCAACTGTCACACACTTTTCCCCCATTAATTTCACTTCAAGGATTTTAAATAAATAAATACAAATGTCAAAAAATCTTCACACAGAGATATTCATTTAAGTATCATTCATAATTAAAGAAGCAAAGAGTCTGGCACTTCCTCTAAAAGTTACACAAAGAGCCCTAGCTGGTATAGCTCAGTGGATTGAGTGCTGGCCTGAGAATCAAAGGGTTGCCAGTGCAATTCCTGGTCAGGGCACATGCCTGGGTTTTGGGTTAGTCTCCAGTTGGTGTGCATACGTAACAGGCAACCACACATTGATGTTTCTCTCCCTCTCTTTCTCCTTCTCTTCCCCTCTCTCTAAAAATAAATAAATAAAATCTTTTTTTTAAAGTTACACAAAAAAATCACCATATGACACAGCAATCTCATTCTTTGGTATATACCTCCCAAAAAATGAAAACAGGGGCTAAACACACACTGGTAGGCCAGTGTTCATCACAGCACTACTCACAATAGCCAGAAGGTGGAAATAATCCATATGTCCATCAATAAATAGATGGGTAAACAAAATGTGGTATATCCACACAATGGAATATTATTCTGTCATTAAAAATAATGAAGCTCGAGACTTCCGCCAAGATGGAGGCATAGGTGGATGTGCCATGCCTTCTCACACAACCAAGTTTAGAGACAACTAAATATTAGCAACAGAAAACACAGCCAGAACACGGAAAATTGAACTTTTCGGAAGTCCATTAACAACAAATTCTTCAGCCTGACCGGTAAGGGGCGAAACCAGCGGCTGGTGAAGCGGGGTTGCACAGGAAAACTCGGTCAGACGGACTCAGGCGCGGAATCCAGATGCGGAATCCAGGCGCAGGGTTGGACCTAGTGAGCGACCGCGGGGGAGACAGCGGGGCAGCGTGTTGACTGAGGTCGCGCATTTGTGCGCAGGTGGACAGGCGAGGGAGTGGGCGGTTGGACCTGGCCGGCAGGTCCCCACGGCAAGGCAGTGGAGGGCGCTGCCATTTCCCTGCTCTGACCCCACCTCCACATACAGCGTAATAACCCAGCGACTCTGAGTGGCCCGGCCCAGGTGAACCACCTAAGGCGCTGCTCCTCCGCACCCAGCTGTGAGAAACAGCAGAGGGGGGCGCCATTTCCCCGCTCTGACCACGCCCCCACATACAGCGTCACAAACCAGCAACCTGGGAATCCAAGGTGCCGCTTCTCACACTTAAAGGGCCGGAACAGACCAAGAATGGCGCAGGAGGATCTCAGAGCCCCAGAGCCAATAGATCTAAGCAATGAAGAAATAGCAAAACTCACAGACACACAGTTTAAAACATTGGTGATCAGGATCCTCACAGAACTGGTTGATTATACCGACAAATTAGACAAATATATGAAGGCGAAACTAATTGAAATGAATGGAATTGCACAGGACACCAATAGCAATGAAAAGGAAACTGGGACTCAAATCAATGGAGTGGACCAGAAGAAAGCAAATAATGGCCAAACAGAAAAGAGTCAAGAAGCAAGAATTTGAAGAAATGAGGAGAGTCTTAGGAACCTCCAGGACATCTTTAAATGCTCCAACACCCGAATTATAGGGGTACCAGAAGGGGGAAAGGCACAGCCACCAGTGGAAAAATTATTTGAACAAATAATAAAGGAGAATTTCCCCAATCTGGCAAAGGAAATAGACTTCCAGGAAATCCAGGAAGCTCAGAGAGTCCCAAAGAAGTGGGACCCAAGAAGGAACACACCAAGGCACATCATCATTACATTAGCCAAAATTAAAATGAAGGAGAGAATCCTAGAAGCAGCAAGAGCTAAGGGGACAATCACCTATAAAGGAGTCCCCATCAGACTGTCAGCGGATTTCTCAAAAGACACCTTACAGGCAAGAAGGGGCTGGAAAGAGGTATTCCAAGTCATGAAATCTAAAGACCTACATCCAAGATTGCTCTATCCAGCAAAACTTTCATTTAGAATGGAAGGACAGATAAAGTGCTTCTCAGATAAGATCAAATTCAAGGAGTTCATCATCACCAAGCCCTTATTATATGAAATGTTAAAGGGACTTATCTAAGAAAAGTTAAAGAAACATGAACAGTGAAAGGACAACAAACTCACAGTTATTAACAACCACACCTAAAATGAAAGCAAACTAAAAGGACAGCTAGATCAGGAGTGGAAACATAGAAATGAAGATCTCAAGGAGGGTTAGCAACAGGGGAGTGGGAGGAAGAGAAGGGGGGAGAAGGTACAGAAAATAAGTAGCATAGAAAATAGAAGTAGATAGAAGATAGATGGGGGGGCAAGAATAGCATGGGAAATATAGAATCTAAAGGAATTGAGACATGGTCATAAACTAAAGGGGGGGTAATGGTGGGGATGGGGGGTAGGGTGGAGGGGAATGAAGGGGGGAATAGAACAACTGTAACAGCATAATCAATAAAAAATTTAAAAAAAACAAAAAAACATATCCTCAGGTGAGGATTAAAATAAATAAGTAAATAAAAAAAATAATAATAATGAAGCTCTTGTCCTGGCTAGTGTAGCTCAGTAGATTGAGCACGGGCCTGCGAACCACACGATCGTGGTTTGATTCCCAGTCAGGGCACACGCCTAGGTTGCAGGCCAGTTCCCAGCAGGGAACTCACGAGAGGCAACCATACATTGATATTTCTCTCCGTCCCTTCCTCTCTAAAAATAAATAAATAAAAAATATTAAATTAAAAAAAAATGAAGTTCTGAAACATGCTACAACATGCACGAACCTTGACAACCTAAAGAAGGTGAAATAAGCAGACACAAAAGGACAAATATTATATGACTCCATTTATATAAAATACCTAGAACAGGCAAATTCATAAAGACAAAGTAAATTAGGGTTAGGACGACAGGACAAGAAGTTACGGCTTAAGGGGTAAAGTTTCTGCTTGGGGTGACAGTTACACAACACTGTGAATGTAATTAAGGTACTAAATCATACACTTAAAAATGATTGAAGTGGAAAAAATGATGAAAAGAATAAAAAATAGATACCATGTGGGAAAAAATGGCTGGTGACCATCAAAATGAATACGGGTTCTGTGATTCTGTCTCTGTTCTTGTTTGCTTAGTTTGTTTTTTATATTCAATTGTTGATAGATGTATTTATTGCCATTTTATTATTCATAGTTTTAATCTTTTTAATAAGTTCCTTTAATATCTCATATAACAATAGTTTGGTGATGATGAACTCACTGCTGTTTTTTCTTGTCTGGGAAGGTCTTTATCTGCCCCTTGATTCTGAATGACAGCTTTGCTGGGTAAAGCAGTCTTGGCTGTAGGTCCCCACTTTTCATGACTTTGAACATTTCTTGCCAGTCCCTTATAGCCTGCAGAGTTTCTTTTGAGAAATCAGCTGACAGTCTGATGCAAACTCCCCTGTAGATAACTAACTTCTTTTGCTGCTTTTAAGATTCTCTCTTTATCCTTAACATTTGGCATTTTAATAATGATGTGTTTTGGAGTGGGCCTCTTTGCATCCATCTTGTTTGGGACTCTCTGTGCTTCCTGGACTTGCATGTCTATTTCCTTCACCAAACTAGGGAAGTTCTTTAATTATTTTTTCAAATAGATTTGCAATTTCTTGCTCTTTCTTCTGTTGGCACCCCTATGATGTGAACCTTGGACCTCCTGAAGTTGTCCCAGAGGCTGTTTATACTATCCTAATTTTTTTTGGATTCTTTTTTTTTTCTTGTTCTGATTGGTTGTTTTTTGTTTCCTTATGTTCCAAATCATTGATTGGATTCTCAGCTTCATCCACTCTACTGTTGTTTCTCTGTAAATTGTTTTAATTAGTGCACCCTATGATTTGCCTGGATCTTTTCTATGCTGTTGAGATCCTAAGTTCCTTGAGCATCCTTATAACCAGTTTTTTGAACTGTGCATCTGGTAAATTGCTTATCTCCATTTCATTCAGCTCTTTTTCTGTAGTTTTGATCTGTTCTTTCATTCGTACCACGTGTCTCTGTCTCCTCGTTTTGGCAGTCTCCCTGTGTTTTTTTCTATGTATTAGAACTGCTTTGATTCTGTGTCTTGGTCATGTGGCCTAATGTAGTAGGTGCCCTGTAGGGTCCAGTAGCATGACCTCCCCTATCAACCAAGCTGAGTACTCAAAGTGGGCTGAGTACACCCTCTTCTTGTAGTTGAGCCTTGATTGCTATTGGCAGATCAATGGGAGGGATTAACCCAGGCCAGTCAGCTGCAAGGATTGGCTGTGACCACTTACCACCAACCTCCACCCTCCGTGGAGAATCAACTGTTCAGGGGCAGGGTGGTGGTACTCTGATGGGTTGGTCTGTAGCTGTCTACTAGGCCCGGTGACCCTGGGGTGTCCTGGGTGGTGCAGGCCAAGGTAAGCCTCCACCTGTGCTTTGCCTGCTTGAGCTATAAAGCAACGTGAGAGGGCTGTTCCTTGTGCTGGGCTTGGAGATTCCCAGACAAAGCCAAGCTGTGAATCTAGACCAGCTGCTGCTAGTATTGG